ATATATACATTTTTCAAAACTCAATGAACTATACACTCAAAATAGGCTTATTCTCTTGTATGTAAATTATACCTTCATAAAGTTTATTTTTAGTGGTACTGTATCAAAACACATCAAAATTGTTAGATAAAAATCAGTCAAATGCCCTATTTTGGAGACTGAAAAAGCTGAAAGAAGGGATTACAATTGGTAGCCCAGATATTGGAGCAAAATAGACATATACTTAGAGTAATCCAAGACTTTTGTTTACAGAGGAAATCACTGCACAAGAAAGTAGAGGGTCCTGACTAGATAACCACAGAGGAACATTCAAAAATCAATTAATATACTCCAGCACATCCACAGCTAAGGAAGAAAAAACATATGATCATACCAATAAAAGCTTTAGACAAAATCCAATACTCATTCACAATAAAAACTCTCAACGCAGAAATAGAGAACTTCCTCAACTGGATAAAGAACATCTACAAAAACCCCACAACTAACATCATACTTGATGGCAAGAAACCAGATGCTTTTTCCCCAATGATCAGGAAGAGATCAAGAACGTCCCCTCTCACCACTCCTATTAAACATTATACTGGAATGCCCAGCAAATGCAGTAAGACACATAGAAAATAAAATAAGAGGTATGCAGATTGATAAGGAAAAAATAAAATTTTTTATTCTCAGGTGACACGACAGTGTGGCAAATTCCAAAGAACTGAACAAAAATAAAAAAAAACTTATCAATATTAGTGTTGAATGTAAATGGTCTTAATGCTCCTCTTACAAGATATAGATGGGCTGACTGGATGAAAAAAACACACCCAAATCATTTGTTATCTCCCAGAAACCCATCTAACTAGCAAGGACTCTCACAGACTCAAGGTAAAGGGATGGAATAAAATATTCCATGCATATGGAAACCAAAAGCAATCAGGAGTAGCTCTTCTCATATCAGATAAAATAGACTTTAAGTCAACAATGGTTTGAAAAGACAAAGACAGTCATTATATGATGATAAAGGGAACAATCTGGCAAGAAGATATAACAATCCTAAATGAATATGCAAGTAACACAGGATTTCCCAGATTCATAAAACAAATTCTAAATAACAGCATTATAACAGCCAGGGACTTCAACTGACAGAACCAGACAGATCATTGAGACAGAAAATCAACAGAGAAACACTGGACTTAAGATTTTAGAACAGATGAACCTAACACACATTTATAGAACATTCTACCCCAAAACCATGGAATACATATATTTCTCATCAGCTCATGGGACATCTTCCAAGACAGGTCATATGTTAGGCCACAAAACAAATCTCGGCAAATTGAATAAAATCAAAATCATACCATGTATCTTCTCAGACCGCAGTGGAATAAAACTAGAAATCAATTCCAAGAGGAACTCTCAAATCTACACAAAGTCATGAAAATTAAACAATCTGCAGCTAAACGATCCTTGAGTCAATGACAAAATTATGATGAAAATAAAAAGATTTTCTGAACTAAACGAAAAAGAGGATACAAGACTCCAAAATCTCTGGGATGTAGAAAAAGCAGTGCTGAGGCGGAAGTTCATAGTCTTAAATGCTTACATCAAAAAGACAGAAAGATCACAAATTAACAAATGATTCACCATAATCAAGTGGGATCCATCCTAGGGATGCAAGGATGGGTAAACATATGCAAATCAATAAATATATCACATCAACAGAATGAATGACAAAAATCATACAATCATTTCAATAAATGCAGAAAAAGCATTTGACAAAATTCAACATCCTTTCATAGGAAAAATCCTCAACAAATTAGGTATAGAAGGAATGTCGGAACAATAAAGGCCATTTATGACAAGCTCACATCTAACATCATAAGGCACAGTTGAAAGGTTTTGCTCTAAGATCCGGAACAAGAAAAGGATGCCTACCCTTGCCACTACTATTTAATAGAAAGACTGAAAGCACTGGAATTCCTCATCGCAGAAATTAGGCATGAGAAAGAAATAAAAGGCATCCAAATTGGAAAGGAAGAACTTAAATTGTTCCTGTTTGCATACAACATGACCTTATAATATAGAAAACCCTAAATACTCCTCCAAAAAAACCATTAGAACGAATGAGTTCAGTAAAATTGCAGGATACAAAATCAACACACAAAAATAAGCAGTGTTTCTGTACACAAATGGCAAACTATCTGAAAAAGAAATCAAGAAAAAAAACCATTTATGATGGGTAAAAGAAAATTGAAAACTTAGGAATAAATTTAACCAAAGAGAAGAAAGATCTCTACAATGAAAACTAAAAAATACTGATGAAGGAAATTAAAGAAGATATAAATAAATGGAAAGATATCCTGTTTTCATGGATTGGAAGAATTAATATTGTTAAAATGTCCATAGTACTACCCAAAGCAATCTACAAATTCTATGGAATCTCTATTAAAATAACGATAACATTCTTCACGGAAATATAAAAAACAATCCTAAAACTCACATGGAATCACAAAAAACCTCAAATAGCCAAAGCAATACTGAGCAAAAAGAACAAAGTTTAGAGGCATCACACTACCTGACTTCAAAATATACTACAAAGCTATAGTAATCAAAAGAGCATGAGACTGGCATAAAAACAGACATATAGACCAATGAAATCGAATAAAGACCTTAGCAATAAATCCACACATTTACAGCCAACTGATTTTCAACAAATGTGACAAACACACAATGGAGTAAGGACTGTAAAATAGTGGTGGGAAAACTGGATATCCACACATGCAGAAGAATGAAATTAGACCTTTATCTCACACACTGTATACAAAAACAAAAACAAAACAGATTACAGACTTAAATATAAGATCTGAAACTATTAAACTACTAGATGAAAACATGGAGAAAAGTTCCAGTACATTGGTCTGGGCAATGATTTTTTGTATGTGACCCCAAAAGCAAAAATAGACAAATGGGATTGCATCAAAATAAAAAGCTTCTGCACAGTAAAGGAAACAATCAACAGAGTAAAAGAAAACCCATGGAATGGGAGTAAATATTTGCAAACCAAACACCTGATAAGGGGTTAATATCCAATATATATAAGGATCTCACAAAACTCAATAGCAAAAACAACAACAAATAACCCCATTAAAAAATATGCAAAAGACCCAAAAGGACAATTCTCAAAAGAATTACAAATGGCCAACAGGTATACGAAAAGATGCTCAACATCACTAATCATGAGGGTAATGCAGATCAAAACCACAATGAGAATCACTTCACCCCAGTTAGAATGGCTATTATCAAAAAGACAAAAAAATAATAAATGCTGTTGAGGATGTGGAAAAAGGGGAACTCATATACTGTTGGTGGAAATGTAAATTAGCATAGCTATTATGGAAAACAGTGGGGAGGATCCTCAAAAAATTAAAACTGGGACTGCTATATAATCCAGCAATCCACTACTGGGTATATATCCAAAGGAAATGAAATAAGTATGTCAAAAAAAAATCCTGAACTCTCATGTTTATTGCAGCTATTCACAATAGCCAAGGTATGGAATCAATCTAAGTACCCATCAACAGATGAATGGATAGACAAAATGTGGTAAACCTACACGATTAAATATTATTCAGCCGTAAAAGGGAATGAAATACTGATACGTGCTATACCATCTGTCAATGTGAGAGAACCCCAAAAACACTATGCTAAGTGATAGAAGTCAGACACAGGTCATATTTTATATGATTCCATACATATAAATTATCCAGTATAGGTAAATCTATAGGGACAAAAAGCAGATTAGTGGTTGCCAGAGGCTAAGGAAAGGAAGGGACAGGGAGTGTCTGCTTAATGGGTATGGTCTTTCCTCTTGGGTGATGAATGTTTTCAAGCCCGATAGAGATGATGGCTACCAAAACTGGGAATGTGTAAATGCCACTGAATTTTACACTTTTAAATGGTTAATTTTATGTTACATGACTTTTACCTTAGTTTTAAAAAGTGAGTTGCTTATGTGTTTTATGTGCTTGGCTAACTTGACAGCATAATGTCATAACAAGTACGAATGTTAAAATTAGATAGCCTGGGTTCAGATCTCAGCTTTGTCACTTCTAGATGAGTTACCTTAAGCAAGTGATTGGGCTGTCTATGTCTCAGTTTCTCACCCCTAATGCCAAGTTAATATGAGTATTCATAGGATTATAAGAATTAAATAAGTTAACACATTTGAAACACTTAGAATGATTTTAGTATATAGTCAGTGTTCAATAAATATTAGTTTGAAATAACTATTATTTTTATGGCAATAAAAGAAGGAAATGGTTTCATACAGAGGAAGACTGAGAATTCTAAGAAACTTTTATCAAAAATGATATAAATTCAGAAATCTACTATTAATAAACCATAGCCTACAAGCAGATAATACAAGAGCTTAAAGTAAACATCTGCCATTGAGCTCAACTTTGTATAAAAAGAGTACTGAGCATAGAGCCAAATGATATGTGACTCTTGTGAGGTTGGTTATCATCTTTCAGCAGCCCCAATGTAGTAAACAAAGCCGATATCGTGCTAAGTCAAAAAATGAGTGGCAAGGGGGACAGCAACAACAAAAAACAAATCAGAACTAAGTAACGTCAAATGAGAAGTAATACATACCACTGAAATTCTAAACACACTTGAGAGAATGTGAAACTTTTCATTAAACACTTCAAAAATACTTGAAATCAAATAGGAAATAAAAACAGCAAAGCGATGCTGTCAAATTTAAATAGTTGTATAAGGGGCACTGGAGACTATGTAACCAAGGAACAAAATAAATCAAATTTCCTTTTACATCTAGTCTCTAGCAGAAGCTAGCCTAAGAGTGGCAGAAATTAGGAAAACCACCACCCCTCCCCACTCTTGCATGCATGCACACACCCACACAAACACATACACACATACATAGACACCCCTTTGAAGATCATAAGTAAAGCAGCCATATAAATAGAGGAAACTGAGTAAGTTTTACTTCTTACCTTCTTCTGCTTCATCCTCCTGGGGTGACATTGGAGCCCCTCCGCCAGTGGGAGTGACTGGTTCCTCCTTGTCTGACTCTCGCTGTAGACTCACCACCTCATATATTGCATCTCCAGCATTGGTATGGCCCTTTCCCTCAGACTGAAAAAGATATAACAATATTTGAAATATTAGATATTTGAAGGAAACGTTGAAAGATAGTATTTCAATGGCTCATTCAAAAGAGCTGAAATGAAAAGAAACATGTTATGTTTGATCTACAGTATGTCTGAGGTTGAAAAAACTTTTACAGTGCATTGTTCTTCACATGATATTCTAAATGTAGATTACTCTAGTGTTATTTTAACCAATACATTGAAACCTACTAACCATTTTGGGAAAACTCAGTTTCTTTTTACCAGAAAAACCTAAGACACCTCAGATTCTAGGACAGACAGATAAGCAAGTGATGCCAGATTCTTAAAACTGACAACCTCATACTGAGGTAAAGAAATATCAGTTATACCCATTAACTAATCATGGAAGTAAAGTTTTTACCTTATGAACAGTCTGCAGTCTAAACGACACTTTTTTTAGAAGGGAACTTTAAGGCAACTGTCAATTCACCACCCTAGCATGGAATACAAAGTCCTGGATAAATTGGTCCCTGCCTCTCTCCCTAGTCTCATTTCACACATATAGTTTGTTGCTACATCCCAGCCACTCTTGCCTGGCTTCAGCTCCTTGAACCCTTTAAACTTTTTCCCAATTCAAGGCCTTAGGACATCATTTCCTCTCTGTCAATATAGGTTTTCTCCTACTCCTTGCTATTTTCCAGCCATCTTGGATCCATACCTCAAATATTATTTCTACAAAGAGGTTTTCCAGACCCTCCTCAATATTAACTAAGTTTCCCATCAAAAGATTCTTATCATACCCTGTCCTTTCCCTTCACTATATTTACCATAATGTAATTACACATTTATTTTTATATTTATTTGTTGAATATTTGTCTCATCCATAAGGGCAAGGAAAGTGATGATTTCAAACAGAAATTATATTGTACCTGATACACAGTAGATATTCAATAAATATATGTGGGATGAATGCCTAGACTAATGGTAAAACATGGATTTTGAAGTCAAATAGACCCGGGTTTGAACTTAAGTTTCACTACTAATAAGATGCAT